GATGAAGGTATTTCTCTTATTGCCCTTAAAAGTAGCCCTACAGATTAACAGCTGTTGGATTTGGCAACATATAGTCACGTTGTACTGTTGACATTGTGATTGTCGCCGACTAATGCAATTGGATTGAAACTAAAATATCGTTATTGTTTTTATTTATAAAATTTACAGCACATTTAATTACAAAAGCAACTTCAACCAAAGTGCTATAAAGGAATACAAAATAACTAGTAACTATATTATCTTCAATCACCTCTGTCATTTAAAAACTGTCCAAGTTTTTCTTGTCTTTGGTTATTTTATCACTAGTGCTAAAGCTGACAGGAGAAGGCAACATTTGAACTTTTTAAATGATTCCAGTTTCTAGTCAGTAATGTTTTGGGGTTTTTTTCTTCAGGATTTGTGTTCTCCTGGGGGGATGGGGACTTTGGGAAGCTGGGTCGTGGAGGAAGCGAAGGCTGCAACGTACCACAGAACATCGAAAGGCTCAACGGGCAGGGTGTCTGCCAGATTGAGTGTGGAGCACAGTTCTCCCTGGCTCTCACTAAATCTGGAGTGGTGTGGACCTGGTGAGATGAATGTGTTCCACGTTTAGGTTATCATTCATTATCTGTCCTCAGGCTTTCTTTGACCGTTAACTGTTTCCAAACAGGGGCAAAGGCGATTATTTCCGGTTGGGCCACGGCACCGACGTCCATGTGCGGAAGCCCCAGATGGTGGAGGGACTGAGGGGCAAAAAGATTGTCCACGTTGCTGTCGGAGCGCTGCACTGTCTGGCTGTCACAGACACAGGACAGGTTTGTACTGACCTCAACAAATGGTGTTAGAAACCAGAGCGCACCCTTCAAAGTCTGATCATTTATTGCCGTGGCTCTGCTCCAGATGTGAGTTTGTGTTCCTGCAGCAAGACCTGATTTATTGAGCAGTTAGCTCTGACCTTTTGCTCTCACATTGATTTTTTTTTTTTTTCTTCACCTTGTTTAATAGTTTTCCTCAGAACAAATTTGATTATACTAACATATCAACTCCAATGATAAGAGTCAGCTGGTCAATGTTTTTTAAGAGACTGTTGAAAGTAAAAGCTTGGCGCTGAGCCTTCACTTTACAGGAAACAAAGAGATTCAGAAATGTGTCAAATGTACAGAAATCTAAGGTGGTGTGAAATGTTTGATGGTATCTCGTAACCTTTTGTTTGTGACATACACGCTAACAGGTGTAATAAAAACTCCATCTAATTAAAGGCTTTATGCTTCTCTGTCAGGTGTATGCGTGGGGTGATAATGACCACGGGCAGCAGGGAAATGGTACTACCACAGTTAACAGGAAGCCCACCCTGGTTCAGGGTCTGGAGGGACAGAAAATCACTCGGGTGGCATGTGGCTCATCCCACAGTGTGGCCTGGACCACAGTGGATGTGACCACCCCCTCTGTTCATGAGCCAGTTCTTTTCCAGACAGCCAGGGACTCCCTCGGAGCGTCATACCTGGGTAAGCCTTGCTGTTTACATGCAGCTTGTCCACAAGGTGGAGCTGTGCAATCATTCAGTGCAGCCAAGCAATTTTTCAGCAATGATGCTTTAAAGAGTCTTTTTTAATCCGCATTTAAGGTAAATATATGCTATTAAAAACATCTGATGGATGCTCTTGAGTTCACTTATTTTCTAAATATGCGCCCAGCTCTTCACATCCTATATTGCCAATTGTGGTAATAGTAGGGCAACTGCAGGGGTTGGATATTGAGACGATGGGGCATACAACGATCTTGGTTTTAGACACAACTATGAATTCTTTAGGCAACAGATTTCTTGAACAAAAAGTGTTAAAAAAAAAAGAGTCAAACGTCAACCTTTTGGCTTAATTTTTCACCTTCAGTTTTGAAGTATTAAAAAGCCTGCAGTTCCTCTAATGTGTACAGTAGGCTCTTAATGTCAGTCAGTCCCCCATAGACAGGGATGCTAAAAGGTCCATCTAATTTTATGCTTTTTAACAACTATATAGCATCGTGACTTTTTTATTTAACTCACCTGTTTAAATTGGCTTAAGGCCTAGGGTTTGCTTTATCACACTTTGTTAACTGACAGGCGAATGGTGACATTTGTGGTTTTAGCTGCTAGCTTTTTGCTAGGCTGCCCCTCGGCTAATGGAGTCCCTGAACTGCATCTCTGGACCTTTTTTGTGCTGTAGGAGAGTTAGGACTGTCTAACACTCGAAATAATGGGGGTTACCCATCTGAGAGCTAACTCAAATTTGAAACTAAAAAGCAAACTCATTTCCTATTATGGGCTCTCTCAGTGGGCCCAGGTGTAGCTCATTTAGCTAGTTACCAGCAGATCAAGAGCTGCACGACAAAGAACGACACAGAGATAAAACAAGCACAACCTTCACGACAGTATGGGTCATCACAGCAATAAATTAACAATACTTTTCTCTTCTGTACCGCCTTTGCTTTTCAATCTGGAAGCTCTCAACATCCATCTTTCACAGAGTCAATATTGTCTCCCTCATTGTGTGCAGGACCCAAACACGACCATATCAACATCTGCATCAGGCTTCAGCAGCAGTTACTTTTCTTAGCTGCAGGTGGTAGAAAACACAGGCCTGGAAGTAGAGCTGGAGCTGTTTTACGCTGCCTCCCATTAATGACAGTGTGTCTCATTGTTTTGGTGTTGTACTCTGTAGGTGTCCAGTCAGACAGTGACTCATCATCAGTGAGCAACAAGCTGAGTGGGCAGAGCAGCGTGAAGTCTAATCGACCCTCACTGGCCAAAATTCTCCTCAGTCTGGATGGAAACCTGGCCAAACAGCAGGCTCTGTCTCATGTGCTGTCAGCCCTTCAAATCATGTATGCAAGGTAGGCTGTATGCACGGTTTGAAAAATCTATTTCTAATGTGCAGGAATACTTGCATGGAAAATGTACTTTTTTTTAAATGATAGAAATGTGAGAAGTAAAAGAAAACAGGTAAAGAAATTCAACTAATAATACACGATATGAAACTTATATCCTGCAGCTATTCAGGGTTTGAATGCTGTAACTTCTATCTTGTTCGTTTAATTATGCATGACCAAACTGGCTGACTCCGTTCTAAACAGGAGAAGATGATGATGTTTCTGAATAAATTAAGTATCTGACTGGCAGGAGTCGTCGTCATTAATTGGCGTTAAACGTTGACAGACTGTGTTGTGTGTTCCCTCAGAGATGCAGTGGTGGGCGCACTCATGCCGGCCAGCATGATCCTGCCAACAGAGTGTCCTTCCTCTTCACCTATTCCCCCATCAGACTCTTCATCCTCATCCAGCGTGAGCGATGAAGAAGGTCCTCTTGTTCCACCAGAAGCTGAAGAGCGAGTCAGCCCAAATCCCTGGCAAGACAAGAAGGGAGAGGTCAGGAACACAATACACCTTGCCTCTTAAAAACCTCATGGTTTAGTAAATGTCAGTGAGGCTGTTGTCGTGCTGTTTGGGTTTTTGAAGCGCTGCCTCAGCTGGACTTTCTGCTGATTTCCTGTTAAACTGTAAAAACACTCAGTGTGCATTTTTGTCCATGATGACCAGGTGTGGGGATGCAGTCATCGGCAAACTGCATTTGGGTCCAATCTTGGAGTTCTCACAGGACCTTGATGAGAGTTATGACTTTAAGTTTCTGCAAACATTTCCATTCTTGGTGTTCTTTCTAAAGATAACTGTTACGGTTATCTTTAGAAATAACTATGGTCCAGCTTCATTTAAACAACCTGAAACCATTACTTATCCATGTTTTTAAGCTTCCTTGTTGTGCAAAGAGCCCTCCTCTCCTCTCTCAGAGAGTGGTGTGTCTGAAATATGTAGTAGACACCCGCAACAGACAAGCCTGTGACTTTGACAAACACAGGCTATTGTTTTTGGGGTGGATACTTTTCTTTTGATCCTCACGTCACTGAGACTTTAGTGAAGCTGGCTTTTTTCACAGCCTAACCACACAGCAAGAGGGTCCTGAGTTTGAACCCAGGATGGGCCCTTCTCTATGGAGAACGGATTTGTGTGGTTTTTACCCCTGAGCCCTTACAAGCTGATGGGATACTGCCGTCACCTCACAGGGGCAACATGGACATCCAACTTTGTGAACACAGTAACTCAAGAACGAGGCGGTGTAGGACTTGGAAAAGTTGGAATCTCTGTGACCTTAAACAATATATTAGATGTATATTTACTCTCAGATATGAAGATTCTTAGTGGGAGCTTGTTAACCGTTTGCAGTAAATATTGTTGTTTGTTGGCGTTTGGTGAACTTGGGTGAATTTGGTGTGTATGAACAGGTTCCCTCATCTGAAGACGCTATCACCCCGTCATCAGCAGTAACTCCATCAGCCTGTGGAGCCTCCTCACGTCCTTTCATCCCTGTCACCGATGACCCTGGAGCAGCCAGCATCATAGCTGAGACCATGACGAAGACCAAAGAAGTAAGTCAGTCTGATGGCAAGCAGAGACTTTGCCCTGAGCCAAGTGTTGTTAGCTTAAAGGTTTTTCTGTTGTTTGCTTCTCCTCAGGACTCTGAGAGTCAGAGCAAAGTGGTTGGTCCGGAGCCTCAGTACCTGGATGAGTTCACCAGTCTGCTTGTACCGGATGACACACGAGTAATGGTGGACGTGTTGAAGCTTGCAGTATCCTGTCGTTCTGGGGAGAAAGGCAAGGAGGTCCTGTCTGCAGTGCTGTCTGGCATGGGCACAGCGTATCCACAGGTACTGTCATATATTCCCTGGAAGCTGTGCGTGCATCGGTCTGCAAATTGTTAACATTCTGTATGTGTGTCCTTGCAGGTTGCTGACATGCTGCTGGAGTTGTGCGTCACTGAATTGGAGGATGTTGCTACAGATTCTCAGAGCGGCCGTCTGTCCTCCCAGCCAGTCGTCGTAGAAAGCAGCCATCCCTACACAGACGACACATCGACCAGCGGCACCGTAAAGATCCCAGGTTAGAGGAAAAAAAGACCTTTGAAAGGCAGAGATCGTTATCAGGGTCTTATTGAATCTCAGTAAAATCACTCTCTCGGACATAAACAGCAACTTCTGTTTTGCTCTTCAGGTGCCGAGGGTCTGAGGATAGAGTTTGACCGACAGTGTTCGACCGAGAGACGCCACGACCCGCTAACAATCATGGATGGAGCCAACAGGATTGTCTCTGTCAGATCAGGTGATGAGGGGAAGAGATTCAACTTTACTCTCACAAAATACAAGAAATGAAAAATTAATGTAGCTGTGCCTTTCAGGTCGGGAGTGGTCTGACTGGTCCAGTGAATTAAGGATCCCCGGAGATGAACTCAAATGGAAGTTTACCAGTGATGGGTCGGTTAATGGGTGGGGCTGGCGCTTCACAGTCTACCCCATCATGCCTGCAGCGGGTAAGACATGATGGATAACAAACTTTTCTGATAATAGTTCTTTATTATTAGGGTTGTAAACATTTACTATTGCACTGATGCTGAACAAACACTGTCATGGTGTGTGCCCAAGCAGCCTCCACCTTGTACAGCTCTTATAATAGCTTTATAGGCTAAACTTGTTTTTTATAGGATGGAAACCCATGTTATTTTTTATTTGGTGTCAGTAGGGACACACTCATTGCTGGTGCCAGCCTCAAGTGGACGTTTGAAGAACTTTAGCTTTTGGCACTCAGCGTTGGTTTAATTTTTCAGCGGATGGTAGCTACTAATTGTCTGTCAGGCCTCAGCTCTGCCAATCAGAGTCTCTGATCTGAACGCAGTCTGTTAACCAGGCTTTCTGGTGTCAGCTGATGTGGACCTCCTCATCCAAATATGGCCCAAAAACAACAGCACTGTGGTACCCAAAAGCTAATGTTGAGACTTTAAAATGTAGAGTCCAGAAACCAGTTGGTGATAATATGATGGTAATATTTAAACTGTATGTCTGTGACAGTCAGACTTCATTCTTCTTCTTCAGGTCCCAAAGACTTGCTGTCTGATCGCTGTATCTTGTCCTGCCCCTCCATGGATCTGGTCATATGTCTCCTGGACTTTAGGCTCAACTTTGCATCCAATAGGAGCATCGTGCCCCGTCTAGCCGCTTCTCTTGCTGCTTGTGCTCAGCTCAGTGCTCTAGGTACAGAATTGTGCTCTTGCTTCACCAGGTTATTTCTTAATAAAGTACGAAATAAATTTTCACAGAACTAAATTTGTTTTGTGTAGCTGCTGGTCACAGGATGTGGGCTCTGCAGAGGCTACGGAAGCTTCTGACCACAGAGTTCGGTCAGTCAATCAACATAAACAGGCTGCTAGGCGACAGCGAAGGAGAGGCTCGCTCTATGGTGAGTACACTGTCATAATTAAGATATCTGCCAGATGGCTTAATTGGAATATTCGTTATCCATTTATTATGGGAAATTATTGGACTGTAAAGGAGAGCTAAAAATATTTGACTCTCGTGAAGATGTTGTAGCTAAAAAAAAAAAAGTCCAGAAAAAACATTTCTTCCTGAAGAAAAGACGAGTGTTAGTTATACATGTTGTCGCTCGGCACATGCGACTGACCGATGGCCTTTCTTTTTTCAGAGCTTCACAGGTAGTGCTCTGGCTGCTTTGGTCAAGGGGCTGCCTGAGGCTCTGCAGAGGCAGTATGAGTATGAAGACCCGATTGTCCGCGGAGGGAAACAGCTGCTCCACAGTCCGTTTTTCAAGGTATACATGCGGTTGTTCTCTTAAATACACGGTAACACCATAGTTTTCCTTTGCAGAGCATAACTTTAACACTTTGCCCAGGTACTGGTTGCTCTTGCCTGTGACCTCGAGCTCGATACCTTACCTTGCTGCGCTGAGACACATAAGTGGGCCTGGTTCCGCCGATATTGCACTGCCTCCAGAGTGGCTGTGGCTCTAGATAAGAGAACATCTTTACCCAGACCTTTCCTGGATGAGGTACGTCTGCACAGCTGTGTTGTCTGTGCAAGCTTTCATTTTGCCCTGAAAATCTCTCTAATCCATTTTCCTTCACCTTTTAAAGGTTACAAAGAAAATTCGCGAGCTCATGGCAGATCACGAGAGCATGAACACCCTGCACGAGAGTCACGACTTATTCAAGCGCGAGCACGACGAGCAGCTCGTGCAATGGATGAACCGGCGCCCAGATGACTGGACGCTTTCTGCCGGGGGGAGTGGCACCATTTACGGCTGGGGGCACAACCACAGAGGGCAGCTAGGGGGCATTGAGGGGGCAAAAGTCAAAGTACCTACATCTACAGAAGCCCTCGCCACATTGCGGCCAATCCAGCTTATTGGTGGGGAGCAGACTCTGTTTGCTGTCACTGCTGATGGAAAGGTGTGTTTGCTTTTACCTGTCATAAAAACCTCTGTGCCACTAACGCTTTACAGAGCATCGACAATATCAGCTGAACCATTGCTGCACGACTACTGTAGGGTCATTCATAAAAATGCATCACTACCTCCCACTTTAGAACATTTTTTTCGTATTTTAGTATATTAAATGAAGCCGTTCAAGGAAGTAAATTCATACTATGAATATTTTCCTCAGAGTATAAAAAGATGGGTCCATATTTTTTTTCCCCAGCATTTCTGAGCTCACATAACTTCATCTGTGCAGAAAATTTTCATAAGATAAGATAAGAAGAACTTTATTTATCCCAAGGGAAATTCTTTTGTCATATACATGCTCAATGCAGCAAGAGGGACAGAGGAATAAGATATACAATAGAATACTAGTATACAGTAGGATAGTGCAAAATATAATATCAAATAACTCTAACAAGTAACAATATAACTATATCCTGAAAAATAAATAGCTTACCTATCAGTGAAGGTGATTCTAAAAGTGGCATAGTATTGTGCAAATGAATAAAAGAGAGTAGCAGCGTTATGACGGGGAGATGAAACAAACGTTCGATGAAAAACTGTTGGGTGATATTGCACGGTCTGAATGGAAACAGAATAACTTTGTGCCGATGGCAATAAGACTGTACAACTCATCCTCACTAACAAAGGATTTCCTGTGGCGGTCAGTTCTGCATTTTGAGGTGATTAGTCTTTTGCTGCATATCCTCCGATGGTCCATCATGGAGGCGTGCATGGGGTGGGAGGGGTTGTCCATGATACAAAGAAGCTTTTTTTAGCATTCTCTTCTCAAACACCTCCTCCAGGTTCTCCAGTCTGACACCCAGGAAAGAACCAGCCTTTTTAATCATGTGATATTTCATACTCCAAGTATCACAATTTAAAGTCATGTACTTGTGAAAATGCATGGCTTGATTAAATAAACGACAGACTTTGTACGTAAAGTCAGCTCAACCTTTATTTTTGCTTTGGGTTCTAACATCAGTTTATTTTCTGTCGATGCTCAGCTCTATGCCACAGGATATGGTGCAGGGGGCAGGCTGGGTATCGGTGGCACTGAGTCTGTGTCGACCCCAACCTTGCTGGAGTCCATTCAGCACGTGTTCATCAGAAAGGTGGCTGTGAACTCTGGAGGAAAGCACTGCTTGGCACTGTCCTCTGAGGGAGAAGTCTACTCATGGGGTGAAGCTGAGGACGGAAAACTCGGCCATGGGAACAGAAGGTTAAGACTACATGCACTAAAAATAAGAAAACCTCTTTCATATTAAGTTTATAGTTCATACATATATATAAAACTAAACCTCACTCAAAAATTTTTAAGTAAATTTTTGTGCTAACTGTGCGTCCTTTTGTCTTTAGCCCCTGTGACCGTCCCCGTGTGATTGAGTCTCTGAGGGGAGTGGAAGTGGTGGATATTGCAGCCGGAGGAGCTCACAGTGCCTGCATCACTGCCAGCGGAGAGCTCTTCACGTGGGGCAAGGGTCGCTATGGACGCCTGGGACACGGAGACAGCGAGGACCAGCTTAAACCCAAGCTGGTCTGTGGTCACTCGACTCAGTTTCTCACAAGACTCAAAAAAAAAAAAAGTGCTAAACTTATAAAGAGTAACTGAGTGTGCTTTATCCAGGTGGATGCACTGCAGGGTCACAGAGTCATTGATGTCGCCTGCGGCAGCGGGGATGCCCAGACACTCTGTCTAACTGATGATGACATGGTCTGGTCCTGGGGAGATGGGGACTACGGCAAACTGGGCCGGGGAGGCAGTGATGGCTGCAAAATCCCCATGAAGGTAAGAAGGATTACAGAGCAGTGTGTACTGGAGGGGAACAGAGGCATCAGTTATACCTCAGTTTTCTAGTTATTTCATGTGGGAGACCAGAGTCTGAATCATCTAATCAGTTTTCTGTTCTTTATAAGGTCAGTATACACAACTTTTAGGTAAAGGTATTTATTTTGTGCCCCCAAAAAATAAATAAATCGATAAATAGTGTCATGTAAAATGGGGCCAGACTGCACTTTTATTTAATTTTTTTTTTTTTTAGGTACAACCAATTTTGTTAAGTAGCAACTTTGCTAAATACATAGAAGGGGGTGTGTCATGCTGCCAAATATCTTCTCTTTGGTGTGGTAAGATTGGCTTTTGAAGATGACTTAAAGGCCAGGGCAAGAGAATGGTGTCACCTGTCATGGTGTACAACAGTTATGCTGGCACCACCTGGATATGCAAAGATGAAGACTGTTAGAAAAGGTGCTGAGGGTGAAGACCATGAAACTGCTGTACTGGAAGCACAACTTTCTGTTTCTGACTCTCCACCACCCTGGAAAGTTGAGATCCTATCAAAGGGTCAGAGATATGAACTTGCTTTAATAATCTTTATTTTTGTTTTTCCACATAATTATTAAATTCCTGAACGTGTCAGTTTAAAGATGGTGAATTTCAATAAAAATTAAATTTCAAATGATATTATTTTAAATAATAAAAACCCCAAAACCTTTGACCATACTTATCATGAGAAAATCGGTACACAAAAAAATTTTGAATCCAGAATTAGCTTTGCAGTTTTTCATTACCTAAATTGTTTTGAATTTACAGAAGGGTTTGTTGTTCTGTTTGGTAGTACTTGTACACTGTAAACACAAAATATAAGGACAGGGAACCAAAATGTAATATGCTGCGTTATATTAATGTATAATGAGTATTTTGCTTGTTTAGACATATGTAGCGTAGTTCTTATTTTTAAAGCTCTGTGTGTACAGACACAGGTTGGTTCTGAGGCCTTGGTGCCTTTTTGTTTTTCAGTAAATGTAACAGGATTTCTCGGCTCCTCACCCCAACATGATCAGCTTCACTGTTTCACTCATAATGACAGAACAGGATAGAAACAGTAGCAGAGTGCAAATGAAATGATGACGTAGTTCTGCGTTTTATTCCTGTAATGTCGGCTCTACAGAGGAAGACCTTATCAAGGTGTTTTAAAAGCCACAAACGTGAGTTATGTTTCAGTGCTAAAAAATTGAAAGTTAACCTGTCCCTCTGCTTTTCAGATCGACTCTCTCACCGGCCTCGGAGTGGTCAAAGTCGAGTGTGGTTCGCAGTTTTCTGTGGCTCTCACGAAGTCTGGAGCTGTGTATACGTGGTAAGTACAGAGACGAGCTGTCAAGTTCAGGTGTTGTATTTGGTTGTGATGAGGTGGCTTATCGTGGTGTGTTAATGTGTCCTTTTAAAGGGGAAAAGGTGACTACCATCGGCTGGGCCATGGCTCTGATGACCACGTTCGAAGGCCCAGGCAGGTCCAAGGGCTACAAGGGAAGAAAGTCATCGCCATCGCTACGGGGTCCCTTCACTGTGTGTGCTGCACAGAGGATGGTAGGAAGAATGTTTTTATGTGCGATCGTTTTTTGGTACAAATTCTCTTTATTCATTAAACCTAGCAGATCGGTTATGTTGAGTTAGATTTAGCTTCACAAAAGGTTTTGTTGCTTGTTTGGCTCAGGAGAAGTGTACACATGGGGTGACAACGATGAAGGCCAACTTGGAGATGGGACTACGAACGCCATCCAGAGGCCGCGGCTGGTGGCTGCACTGCAGGGCAAGAAAATCAACAGGGTGGCCTGTGGATCTGCTCACACTCTGGCCTGGTCCACAAGCAAGCCCACTAATGCAGGAAAGCTGCCTGCACAGGTACTACACTCACTGAAAGTAGAAACTGAGGTAGAAAATTAGGTTTCAGCTTCCAGTAGATGGCATTAAAGTTGTGCAGATAAAAAAAAATATATATATATAAAAAAAAAAATCAAAGCCAGATCCAACCAGATGAGCGTGTGCTGTGTTTCAGGTTCCCATGGAGTACAACCACCTGCAGGAGATCCCGATCATGGCCCTGAGGAACAGGCTGGTGCTGCTGCATCACATCTCAGAGCTTTTCTGCCCGTGCATACCGATGTTTGACCTGGAGGGCCGGCTCGGTCAGACGGGCCATGGCCCCTCGGTGGGATTCGACACACTCAGGGGCATTCTCATCTCCCAGGGCAAGGTGGGACAGCACGGTACTGAGAAACCAATTCCATGATGTGGAATGATGTGACAGGCACTAAAACATTTCTTTAAATTATTTGAACAGGAAGCGGCTTTCAGGAAGGTAGTTCAAGCCACGATGGTGAGGGACAGACAGCATGGACCTGTGGTGGAGCTGAACAGGATACAGGTACTTTTAGAAACACATGCATATAGCTCACATAATCACTCACTTTGGTCTCCTTTCAAGTCTCCGGCCCCCCTTACTGTAGTTCCCTCTCCCTGCTCTCCCTGTGAGGCTGCGTTCCAGACTGGCTCCTGACTGTTACATGTGATGTCTTTCATAAGGGGATTGTTTCATGGTGTGTGATCTGCTCTCCAGCTTGTCTGTAGGGAGTCTTTCCTCCTCCTCCTCCACCCCTTTCCCCTTCATCTAACTCGAGTTGTATTGTAGTGGGAGCTGTCATAACAAGCTGGTCATGCACATCAGGACTTCCTCTCTATCTAGCAGGAAGTTGTTAAGCCCACAACAGAACCAGATCAAACCGTAATCTCTATTTTTTTTTTTCTTTCCTCCCCTTCTTCTTCACCCCACAGGTGAAGCGTTCCCGTAGCAAAGGAGGTCTGGCAGGTCCTGATGGAACAAAGTCTGTATTTGGTCAGATGTGTGCCAAAATGAGCTCTTTTAGCCCCGACAGCCTGCTGCTTCCTCATCGCGTGTGGAAGGTCAAATTTGTAGGTACGTGTCCAGGCTGTGATGCCCACGCCTCCCTTTAAACTCCGAACTGTCAGAAACCTTTCCTTACCCTTGTTTTAAATACGCTGCACCTATTTTCTCAGGGGAGTCTGTGGATGACTGCGGTGGAGGCTACAGCGAGTCCATCGCTGAAATGTGCGAGGAGCTGCAGAACGCACTGACTCCTCTGCTCATTGTCACCCCAAATGGCCGCGACGAGTCGGGCGCCAACAGGGACTGCTTCCTGCTAAACCCCGCAGCCAAGTCCGCTCTTCACATGAGCATGTTCCGCTTCCTAGGTATAATCCAGTTAATCTCCCAGTCAGGACTGGGGTGTTAATCCCAGATAAACCAACTCTGAAAATATGCTTTTAGTATAAAAAGTGTAAATATTTCATCTGCATTTTCACTGATAAAGCACCTGGCTTGTTTTATTTAGTACACATAATTTTTATTGTTGGTTCACGCGTCCTCGCACAGCTCAGTGTTCACGTTTGATCTGTGGGTAATGTCCTCTGCCTTGCTGCGTCTGCAGGAGTGCTCCTAGGGATTGCAATCCGGACTGGAAGCCCTCTTAGCCTGAATTTGGCAGAGCCTGTTTGGAAACAGCTGGCAGGCATGAATCTGACCATCGCTGACCTCAGTGAGGTATGTGCACAGCCCCCTCACAGGCGTGTTTGTTTTCATTTTTGCTTTAACTTATTATAAAATAAATAAGTACACTTTGTAGTTTTTTTGGGTTTATTTTTTAAAGACACTATTAACCTCCTAAGACCCTCTGCTGTCACTGTCTTTCCTTTTACATGGACCACATCCAAAAGAGGACCGTGCTTCTGTTTTGCTCTTTATCTGTCTGAAGCTGGAATGATGGATGCTGCAATAAGTAGAACAGCTGGGCAAAGAGTTTCGCTGTCTGAGGAGGCAAAAAAGGCAAAGGGGATGTAGCAGGTTTCCACATAACCAGTGGTTAGTTTAAAAATAACAAAAAAAGCAGGAGAAGCTCATTGGCCGTTTTTAGTTCTGACTTCACCTGTGAAACAAACTGGCTGCCCTCCCTTAACAAACATAGTTTCCTGATGTCAGAGGTTAGTGAAGTAAAGGAAGTGCAGACATGGACAATAACCATTTCACTCATGCAGGCTATAAAATGTAATGCTTCTCAACAAAAAGGCTTAAAATGATGATGGCGTTGCAGTTACTAATTCTTTTCCAAATTTAATTATTAATAGAACAAGTAAATTTGACCCAGCATTAGAGCAAGAAGTGGAAAGAGTCTGCATCGAAGGAAGCGACAAAGGGGAAAAGGAGAAAGTAAAGAAATCAAAAGCAAAACCACAGTGAATTTGAAGTGATCATGCACTCAGAGCAGAGAGCGTGGACACTCAGGAGCATTTAAAATGATAAGTTTCTGTTTTGGTTTTGTTTTTTTAATGTTGGTGAATGTTTAAAACGGAAAGCAGTCAGGTTTTCTGTAGTTGCAGCATGCCAGCTCCGATGCACTTAAGCATCAGCTGCGTGCTACAGACGTCTCTTTGCTTTTGTGTCTTTGTTCCTGATTTACAAATGATTGTAAAAGGAATAAACTACTCTTAAACTCTGACACGAGGCAGCAAAATCATTGCTGAGTCAAAGCCACATCTGTTCTCACACAAGGGCCATTTAAAGCGTATTATAGCTTCATATTGTCCATTCTTTCTTAGGGCCGTTACCCACAAAACACTCAGACAGAAGCTCAGAATTCAACCTTTCCTCCTCCCTGCAGCTGGAAAGGTGAAAGACTGAAAATGTTGTATAATATCTGACATAACAAACCCCATGACGTGCATTATAACATGGAGGAGAAACCCACTCGTATATATTCCTCCTGAGATTAAAACCTAAGCCCCTCCGCTGTTCTGCAGTGGTACGGACCTCTCTAGATGTTTCTCGAAACTCATACTGTGCTGCTCCTTAGAAAGGTTAGAATCTGTACTTGCTGAAGTGAAGAAGGTCGCGAGGCATAACCTCAGCTTTTGTCTCAGATGGTGTGAGTCGACTCCTGCCCTCAAACTCTGATCATGAGCTCCTGAGCCGTCTTTGGGGGAACAGTGGAGTGGAAAAAAGGGCTTCTACCTCACAAAGCTGCCCTTGTTTTGTGGTTTTGCCCCTGAGATATTGGAAAGGTTAGCTGGGAAATGAATTTAGCACAAGACTCCAAGAAATGGATCAGTCCAGCACTCACGGGAACTGTGTTGTGTTAATGAGTTGTGGGCATGTGGGCACATGCTCACACACACACACACACGGATAAATGTTGCGTAAAGTTCAGCTAAATTGTACGTTTATTACTCAGTTTAGTTCAAATTCCCAGCAGTGATTTGCTCTGTTTTTTCCCAGGTTGATAAGGATTTTATTCCTGGCTTGATGTACATTCGGGACAACGAGGCCACACCTGAGGAGTTTGAGGCCTTGACCCTGCCCTTTACCGTGCCCAATGCCAGCGGCCAAGACATCCAGCTCAGCTCCAAGTACTCCCACATCACCCTGGAGAACCGTGCAGAATACGTCCGCCTGGCCATCAACTACAGGTAAGAGAACATGCTCACTGCATACAAATAATCTACTTTCACAAATAAGCTCTGGACAGTTTCTAGAGCATCAGGTTAGCAAATCTCCCACAGCTCTCCTCTCTCACATTAAGTCCACAGCAGGAAGTAGTCTGCTTCAGACTTGTTCATACTGCATGAAATACTCTGTGTGGTTTAGGTGATGGAGGTTTCTGGATAAAGTGAATCATGATGCCCACTCACTGAGTTTTAATGCACCAAAATCTGAACTGATGCCCTGGGTAGCTGGCAGGTTAAAGGTCGCTTGATGTCTCATCATTCTAAGGCCTATAAACATTGGGTCTGCAGTGCATGTGTGAAAACAGCTTTGCATTTGTTTGAGTTTCCCTCTTGTCTTCCTGCAGACTCCACGAGTTTGATGAGCAAGTGTCTGCAGTGCGTGAGGGAATGGCTCGAGTGGTCCCCGTCCCCCTGCTGTCACTTTTCACTGGCTACGAGCTGGAAACAATGGTGAGGGAGAGCAGCTCTAGGCTGTGAAGCCACATCTGTCCCCTGGTTGTGTGCAGATTTCATAGTGTGTGTTTGTTTCTTCGCAGGTGTGCGGAAGCCCGGACATCCCGCTGCACCTGCTGAAGTCAGTGGCCACTTATAAAGGGGTGGAGCCGACAGCACCTCTCATTCAGTGGTTCTGGGACGTGATGGAGTCCTTCTCAAACACAGAGAGGTCTCTATTCCTGAGGTTCGTCTGGGGCCGCACACGTCTGCCACGCACCATCGCTGATTTCCGAGGAAGAGACTTTGTGGTCCAGGTGAGAAACCTAAAAGCTGTCCCCTAATTCTTTTTTTTTCACGCTTCTCTTGAGTGAAATGATTGACTCTGCGTCGCCGACTACCTGCACAAATGTTGTACCTTGAACTCTGCTGACAAGTGTGCCTGTCAGCGTGCTTCTGCAGTACTGTCATAGTAAACTGACGTGTAACCGTGACATGTAGCCAGGCTGCAACTAATCTGACGCATATGCACATGCAAAGATGATTTGTGTTTAACGTTGTTCTTGAAATTGTTCCACATTTTTTTCTGCTACTACTTTTTCTCCTCTTTTTTTCGACTAAAGAATCAGCAGGAACATCTCTCGCCCTGATTCAAATATATAAAATAAAGCTCCATAATTATTTTGGTGCTCTAAATATAAAACTAATGTTCCGCGTTTGTCTTCAGGTGCTGGATAAGTACAACCCCCCCGACCACTTCCTGCCAGAGTCCTACACGTGTTTCTTCCTCCTCAAGCTGCCCAGGTACTCGTGTAAACAGGTCCTGGAAGAGAAGCTGAAGTACGCCATTCACTTCTGCAAGTCCATTGACACAGACGATTACGCCCGCATCGCCCTGTCCGGCGAGCCCGCGGCCGACGACAGCAGCGAGGACTCCGACAACGAGGACGCCGACTCGTTCGCGTCAGACTCCACCCAGGATTACTTAACGGGACACTGAAGGGCCGCAGAGAGACTGCTGGTCTCGTGTGTCGATGCACACATACATAGAAACACTGCAAAGACACAAATGTCTGTGTGTGGGGGGGGCGGGGGTGTGCAATGAGCTTTAAAAGCGTTATAAGCTAAAGAGAGGAACGAACACGGCCTCACTCTGGGTTAGTTTCTGATTGTTGTGTTACAGAATTATGTGTATTATTCCAGCTGAACTAAAAAAAACAGGCTCCAGCCTAGCACTGTGGTAGATCCCCTCTGGTTTGTGTGAGTTTCCTCTCCGTAGGGTGTATATAGAAGTTCATGTGCGAAAAACAGTAGTGTTTTTGTTTCTTGGTAATGTTTCTTTATAATAAATTTAAAAAAAGTTTTTAACTTAAAGTCAGTGTTTCTCACCAGGCTCAGTCCGAGCCCACTGAAGGGTCATTTTAAGATTCCTGTACCCCGCCCCTCCCCACAACCATGTCTGTGCACCATCTCCTTAACAAATGTACATAATGCGACTGTGCCATGTATTCACAGGTCTCATTCCTGCTTATTAAATGTAATCTGATTAATCCCATGTTTTCTGTGTGAAACACAAATCACTACAAGCTCACATCAAAATGACATTCAGTTCTGAGTTTTATTCCTGTCAGACATCGTTTTGCAGATTAAGGTTATTGCATAAATGTCATGTTTGGGAAGAGTTGAAGGCCGCCCTCATGAAACCGCTCTATCCTTTTGTTTTTGTGTTGTCCTCGTCTTACAAGAGGCGGTGCTCTAGCTTGAAGCCGATCAGATTTTCTCTTTGATTTCTTGAAGAATCCGTTGTAATATGCGGCACAAACATCCCAGCTTGATGGCGGCGGAGTGTTAAAGAAGTCTCCCGTGATTACTTGTGGGGGATTGTTGCTTGAGCACCAGGAGGGCAGCGCCTCTCTCTCTCATGTCCTGGGAAAAATCGTACAGACTCCTTATGGTGTCTTTAGCTCCAATAACCGCTCTGAAATGTCGGCTTTGACTTCCACCTTGCATAATCATGCACAGTTAAGTGGAGTCACGAGAGGTAAAAAAAAAAAAGTCCTCTGTTTTATGAAGCCTTGAAGGCTTGGCTTAGAAATCATTAGCATTCTTTGTGGACTTAGTCCTTTTTTCACCACGTACAGTACTCTGCTGGGAGTCAGGTGCTTTTCACTACAGTCCAGGCTTCAGGCAGAGAGGGAGGATGGCTGAGCCCTTCATCTCCAGCTGTGTCCTATATAGTCTGTAACATAAAGGGAGGTTAATATCTCCCCCTTCAAGCGGATTACTTTCTGGAAACGTCATATTTCTACTAAAGCACTTTAGTCATAATGTGTTTTTGTTTTTTAGTTTTGGTTATTTCAGATTGGATTCCTGCCTCAATTGTGAAAAAAGTGTCCTGTCAGGCAAAAGTGGCAAACTTGTTTAATATTATATAAGAATAAATGCAATTTCAAATCTTTGCAAGGGAATATTAGGACTGGAATTAGAAGTGTGATCCAGGGCAGTAGCAGAAGGGTGACCTGGGGTGACACCAGCCCTCTCTGTTATCATTTCAGTGCAACGATGTCAAAATTATGGGATGAAGTATAAAAAAACAGAACCATTAAAAAAAAAAAAAAACTACTGTCCTCTGCGCATCATTACAAGGCTGTGTTGCATCCTGCAGCTCAGGAGAAAGTTTGTCGCCTACCAGTTGGAAGGTTGGTGGTTCGATCCCCAGCTGAATTGGGCAAAGTACTGAACTGAAAGTGCATCTGTTGGATAAAGTGCTTCGGTACTGAAAATACTGCTTGTATGTACTCTGTGAATGAGGCTTGCAGCAGAAAGAGCTCAAGTGCTCAGAGCAGAAAAGCACAAGTACCGGTCCGTTGTGATGATGCATGATAAAATCGTATCCACTGGAAGGTAATACAAGATGAGTTAGTGGGACTTCAACTCACTAACTGGTTAGAATGGTCCGTAAATCCCAGAACATGCAGCGTAAAAGACAAGATGAACCAATGTATGTTTAGGGTGTGGCCTGTGAATGACATCACTTCTGATGCACTGTTTCAACCGAAACACTCAAGGCTGCAAAAAGGTAATGTTTATGTCCATCTTTGGATACAGTCTTTGACCTGTTACTGGGGAATTACAGCTAAGTATAGCCATTTAGGTTTCAGCAAGAAGAAAAAAGGTTCCCGTGGTCATGTGAGAGTGTGCGCTGCGTTCCGCAAATCCTCATGCTAAGCAGTTTAATGTTAATTCTATAATCCCAAAACATAATGTAAGTTATCTCACGGGACTTTACAAAGTAAGGTCAAGACATAATATTATGGGAAACCTAGCGAGTCGTGTTTAGAGGCAAGACTGTAGTGAAGAAGAAGCCCCAGGTACCTGCACTGAGATGAAACTGAATCATTGAATGCAGTGGTGTCATATAAATGCACAGGGAGTGAAAAGATGGAAGCAAAGGAACTACAAAATTCATCAAAAAGGAAAGTTTGAAGCCTGATCTTAAGAGTGGAGAGGATGTCTGTCTCCTGAACTGGGAGCAGGTTCCTCAGGAGAGGGCTGAAAGTTTTGGCTGCTGTATTTAGATCATGTGGACTGAGGGATGCTGCTCGGGGTGATCAGGCAGCCCATGTGACTGCATGTGGGTGGGAGGGTGACAAAGGTTTTTATCATCTCCAACCCTCTTTTTTTTTACTCATCACCGTAAATAAGCATTGTAAAATAAGAGGGCCGTTTCTGTGCCGTAGTTTTACTGTCAGGAACACTTTCCTGTTTTTCAACCCACAAAACCGCCAAATTGTACTCCTGGCATGTCACTTTTTATACAGGGTGGAGCAGTTTGAAATGCTTTGTGTGTGTGAATGACACATGACAAACTGGTAAAAAAAACATCAAAGCAGTCAGACATGCCGAATATAAACACGTGAATTAGTCTCTTCAGCTGAACAGAGCGGATCGGTGCAGTCTAACGTACGTGTTCAAAGTGGCTGAAGTCATGTGGATCACTGAATCAGAAAAAATTCCTGGAAAGGCAACACATGAAAGAGTGTTGGGGTGGGGAGTGACATTAAAAACTCAATACTGGTCATACAACTGCGTTTTTGTGTCACATGAAAGAACAGAATGAAATGATCTGCAAAGAATTTATTGCCAAAGACAAAGTACCAAATGTTAAACTGAGAAATGAGGCTGGTTTTCTAAGAACAAAAGCTCATTTTGAATTGGATGCCGTGCTGCATTCTTTTAACAAGGTTTGACTGTCAAAGAGACTAACTGGTTTCCTCAGTTCCCAAATATCTTCCTTTCATTCCTTGGTTTCAGAAAGCTTTAAATGTTTCTGATTCTCTCATTACAGTCCAAACTTTACACCTCTCCCCAAAAAGACAAACTAAAATTTTAAATCTTAAAACATTTATACAAGAGTAATGTTTGGATCCTCGGGTGTTTGTCTGGGCCTCGTTGCAGCCCCTTAGTTCACCCAGAAATTTAAATAAGCTGTTCTGACTTCTCTGCTTCTCTTTCTCTGTCTTCTGATTATGAGGCTGGTCACCCGTTTAGAGGTTTCTGAGATTGAATTCATGCATGGCAAAGAGTCAAAAAAATAAATTGGGATAAACTGAGTGTTCCGAGCAGTCTGCAGCTCACAGGGAATATTGTGCACACACTGACCTCATCATGAGAAACTTTGTCTAATATGAAGCTCCACCGGTGAAACAGGAGATACGTGACAGGAAGTGAGGAGAAGAATACATTCACAATCATTAAGGTACAAAAACTGCTGCAGATCAGAGCAACGTCTAAATGCCCTCAACATTGTAAAAGTGAACTTTGACCCTTAGATATTTCACTTGAGCATCATCAGGCTCCTCAGCAGAGTGCTGACAATCAGATGGTGCCTTCACATTCAGTTCGGAGGCCTGCACTGTTTTTACTCTTCTTGTGTTCTGTAGATCAAGAGGATCATGTGCCACCAACTCAGAAACCTTCCCTGGCTCAGCAGACAGCTAACAAGCATTCAGATCAAGGCACTGAGTGAACAGGCAGATTTATCCCAGCTGAACATCTCTGAACGCCTGCTGCTCAGTCGGGCTCACGGACATGAGTGTGTTACTAAAGCGAGTTCATTCACATTAACTTCTGCTTTGTGTGAGCCTGCATCACATGACTCCGTTGTCATGACCAGTCAGCATCCAGCGCTCAGTCCTGATGAGATGAACACAAAGCAGCGAAAAGCTCCTTTGCTCTGACGCCGCGGTGACGCCGGTTAAACCTCCGTCAGACTCCTAGTTTACTCTCCTCTTCATGTGATTTCTCTGTTCTCACTACGACATCTCACATCAGCCCACAAGACCAGAGCGTCAAGCTTTATCCTCAAAGGCAGCCCCGAGTCCAGACCAGGTGACTCAGACCGCTCAATGGGAGACGCTGTCTTCAGAGACTTCTGAGAATTAACTCTTTAAGATCATTTTTGGGGACTTATGAGAAATATATTTGTATCGCTGTTTGTGTTCAGTTCACTGAACAGATCATTTTTATAGGCTGGAGGTTTTAGTGGTGGGAGTTTCTAATTACTTAGGTCCTGTTAGTCTGGTTCACTAGCTTTTACTCATGGATGGCAGGATGTTAAAATCCTAATCTGCTCAGCTGTGTTGGGTCAAATGCAAATATATTAAGAGATTAAATTAAAGATACAGTCCCTGGTTTTGTTGAAGCGTTCTGCAAATCCTTGAATTTTAAAGAGCCTCAGTTGTTTTTAAAATTCAATTTTCTTTATTAAAATAAACAGGAAAAAATGTAGAAGATAAACAAGGCCACAAAACAAAGATATGAAATTTAAATTTAAATTTTTTAATTTAAATCAGATCCTTGTGCCCAGTCCTGACCTTAGATGCTGTTTAGTACAATGAAAAATATTAGCTTCAGATGCATAAACAGTTTTATTGTGAATCTTTTTTCTCTCTTTTGTCTTTTTAAATTCTGAGTTTTCATTTAAATTGATTAAAGTTCCCATTTTTTAAATATAAAAAACCCCTGACTTCTAACAAAAGGAATATTAGTAACCTTTCGCGTCAGCAACCATTTTCAATGATATTTAATTAATACGTTTTTCTTCCTCCACTTTCACAAACAGTTCAAATCATTTTCTCTCTTTTGTCTTTTTAAATTCTGAGTTCTCATTTAAATTGATTAAAGTTCCCATTTTTAAAATATAAAAACTCCTGACGTCTAACAAAAGGAATATTAGTAACCTTTCGCGTCAGCAACCATTTTCAATGATATTTAATTAATCAGTTTTTCTTCCTCCACTTTCACAAACAGTTCAAATCATTTTCTCTCTTTTGTTAAAAAAAATAATTTAAAAAAGCCATTTTCTCTCATTTTTTAGTCATAAACATCCACCAGAGAAGCCGCAGCGCCACAGATTTTTTTTCTTTGGGTGGTGAGATGTAAATGACGTTAACAAAGAACGTGACGTTTTTGAAACTAGAATTTTGGGTTTTGTCAGAATCCTGTCCGTCTCTGACCTCTCTGACCCCTCCTCACCTTAAATCTGTGGCTTTGAGGCTCCCTGCTGTGATGAGTTAGACCCAGTGCTTTTCACGTGACAGCCCCCCCCCCATCCCAGAAAAAAAAAGAAAAACTGCAAATATTCCGATAATTTATCACACAGCTACAAAAACAGCATTAACATTAAAACATCTATATGCACATTTCAAGTTCTGTTTAGAGCAGGGGCAGATGTGCTCTTGGGGCAGATGTGAAGCAGGGGGGTGGGAGCGGTTTGGTTGTAAGAAAAAAAAAAACTGGAGTAAGAGCGACTGAATGGGAAAGCTTTCTGTTAAGAACCTCCACCCTCCTCAGCGCCTCTAGAGCCTGCGCCTCAGGAACATCTCCCTCCTTTCTGGGAGAGCACCCGAGAGGACACGAAACACCTCAGCCTCTCTAGCCTTCCATCACGTCTTTGTGCTCAAATAACATCAAAAAGAACGAGCCACAGCAGATGTGAGACCATCACTCTTTACCTTTTGTCGGATTATCAGTTTGAATGAGTTCCGCTTTCTTTGGCTCAACATCAGCATCAACTGAGCACTGCCATCCTCCTCCTCCTCCTCATCATCATCCTGTTTGTCTTCATCCTCATCCTCGTTCTCTGTCTTCATTCATCAAGGTGAGTTTGACATTTTTCACCTGTTTCCTGACAAAATAAAAAGCTTGAATTTAAAGCCTGCATGTGCCTCTGTTACACTACAGTGTTGGCCTTTGTTTCAGGGCTTTAAGCCTCATGCCCTAATTCTGCTCTATAAGTAGTGCTGTAGCTTTGTAAAAATCCCCTCAGTCATTCCACTGATTTCTAAATGATGTCTGCTGAATGGATGAAACGTGCTCTTTTATATTTCACTGCTTAGACATTACCTAATACTACAATTGAAAGAAACCACAAGTAACAAACATCCGAGTCAGAGAACCGTGCTGTTACGGCTTCCTGTCCTGCTGAATTGCTGTGAACGAGGGTGGAGAATTTAAGAAAGCAGTTTGTGTTTGCTTTTACATGCAGCCTGCAGGCAAGATGTCACACAAAAGTCTCTTTCTCCTCTCTGAGGTATATCACAAGCATGGGACAAGCAGAACAAATGTAATATGAGGCATAGGAAATGCATGCGAACAATAAGTGGTCCAAGTTTGAACTTTAACGCTGAAACAAATGACTGAACATGAAAAGGCTGAGCCACCTCTTTGATGGAAACATTAAAACTAATAGGAAATCTGATGTGAGCATCATGAATATTATTTATTCATGTGTAGATGGGAGCATCCATGAGAAACTGGCATCTAGAATGTGTTCATTGACAGTTTTCCCCTTTTATGTCTGTATTAAGTGGGTGAGGGAAGTATATATAACAGCGACAGATGAAGACTGGTTAAAGAAATGTACAATAAATGGCAGTAATTCTGGTTCTACCCGGAACAAAGAATTTTCCTGGCTGGATTTCTTTCTTCTTCTTTTGTTTTAATTATTATTATTCCACAAAGAAAATTCCTATAAATGTTAGGTTTGAATCCGGACACTGCTGGAGACAATGTTAACATGTGACCACCATCACATGTTTTGGAATTTTCCAGCAATCTTATTGGTTAGAGCTAGTAACATAGTTTCAAGTCATACCAGGTTTGATACTCACTGTAGTTTTGATTCATATTTAAGTAATCTATCAACTGATTTAAACATTCAACCCAAATATCTTGAATGGACAAATTACTGATTAAAAATTCCACTCTCGCCCCCGTGGGCAGTCATTACCCTTCAAGCTCGGGTCCTCTACCAGAGGCCATGAGGGTCCTGCACAGTATCTTTGCTGTTCCTAGGACTGCACTCTTCTGGACAGAGATCTTGGATGTTGTTCCCGGGATCTGCTGGAGCCACTCTGCTAGCTTGGGAGTCACTGTACCAACTGCTCCGATTAACACTGGGACCACTGTTACCTTCACCCTCCACTTCTTCTCGTGCTCTTCTCTGAGCCCTTGGTACATCTCAAGTTTCTTGTGTTCCTTCTTCATGATGTTGCTGTTATTCACTATCGCTACGGCCATCTTCCTCTGCTTGTCCGCGGGATCTTAGCTCAGTCATTCTCGACCACCCTAGGGGGCATCTCCCATTGGACCTCAGGATTTCCAGGCCATTTTCAGCACAAATGTTTCTGTATACTATGCCGGCCACTTGGTTATGGCGTTCCATGTATGCCCTGCCTGCTAGCATCTGGCACCCTACTGTTATATGCTGGATTGTCTCAGGCGCATCTTTACACAGCCTGCACTTGGGGTCCTGCCTGTTGTGGCAGACCCCACTCTCTATGGATCTTGCGCTCAGAGCTTGTTCCTGGCTTGCCATGATTAGTGCCTCTGTGCTGTCTTTCAGTCCAGCTTTGTCCAGCCACTGGTAGGATTTCTGGATGTCAGCCACTTCCCTTATCTGCTGGAGGTACATAACATGCAAGGGCCTGTCTTTCCTCTTCCTCCTTTTTCTTGGGTTTCTGCTGCCTGAGGTATTCACTGAGCTCGCGGTCGGTTGGGGCCATCTTCCTAATGTATTTGTGAATGTTTGTTTTGTCAACCTGGACCATGGTTCTGACACTCACCAGTCCTTGGTCTCCTTTATTTCGCTTAGCATACAGGGTGCTGGACCTGACCATGCATGGTCAGGAGCTTCCTCGTCTTGATATCAGTGGCTTCTGTCTTCTCCTTTGGCCAGCTTATTATCCCAGCAGTGTACCTGGTCACTGCCAGGGCATAGATGCCAATTGCCTGTATCTTTCCAATTCACCTCAGGACTTGCGTGACCCTCTGTAGGTATTTAGTGGTTGTGGCTTTCCTAATGGCCTCTTCATGGCTCCCATTTGCCTGTGGGGTTCCTAGGTACTTGTACCTGTCCTCAACTTTTGCCTTCTGGTAGTGCAATCCCCTCTGTTCTGACTACCTTCCCTCTCTTTGTTACCGTCCGACTACACTTCTCTAGTCCAAATTTAGAATGAGGAAAATTGTTACAGGAATGTGAAAATTCATGTAACAATTTCCCTCGTTCTAAGTTAAAGGAATGTTCAGAAGAACACCCACAATCCAAAATAATAAAAATGTCGCAGAGATGCACAGACCCCTTTGGGTTTTTCCCCTAAAAAACAAACAAACAACTTAAATGAATATTGAGTTCTGTTATAGAAATATTTGTTGATTCTATGATGCAACTGGTCAATGCAGATCTGTATGAAATAGTTCTCCAAAAGTTGATTCTGTTCATCTGGACGTAGCGTTTTCTGGGAGAAAC